CAAACAAACAAACAACAACAACAAAAACCTTAAGCAGCCAGGTGCCCATGGCTCATGCCTGTAATCCTAGCCACTTAGGAGGCTGAGATTTGAGAATCAAAATTTGAAGCCAGCCCAGGCAGAAAAGTCCCTGGGAGACTCTTTTTAAATTTTTAATTTTTATTTTCTTGTAAAGATGCTGTACAGAGGGGTTACAGTTACATGAGTAAGGTAATGAGTACATTTTTTTTGTTGAGCATTTTTACCCCTTCCCTTGTTGATCTACCTGGGAGACTCTTAACTCCAAAATAAACTACTTAAAACAGACAGAAATGGCACTGTGGCTCAAGTCCTAGGGAGCTAGCCTTGAGCACGAAGAGGCTCAAAAGACAGCACCTAGGTCCTGAGTTCAAGCCCCAGGACTGGTTAAAAATAAAGTTAAGCAAATTTTGAAAAAAAATTTGCGTTACAAATTTTTATTGATATATGAAATGATGACCTTTTTCAATTAACTAATAACTTTCTAAAATCTTAAGTAGTTGTACAAAAAAGTTATAATTTCATTAGTCAGGTTATGGGTACAGTGCTTCTTGATCAGTGTCACCCCTTCTGTTTTTCTCCTCCATTATTTCTCCTTCCACCCCTACCCTCAAGTTATGTAGTTAATGTTTACATAATGTACATTGACTAAAATAACCTTCCTCTATTCACGCTTCTTTCCTCCATTCATGTGTCCTCTCTCCCCAAAACATATTTCTACTTCCTGGTATTCATTTTGATAACAGTTCATTAGTTGTTCAGAGGAGTTACACCTTTTGAATCTTCCCCTAAGTATATCATTCTTTAGTCAGTTTGTTTGTGGGTAAATACATAGAGCTCTCTATATGTTATTATGCACATTTGTATTTTAGATCTAGCTTCCACATGTGAAAGAAAATGTGCCATTTGTCTCTCTGAGCCTAACTTCACTTAGCCTAGTTTTCTCTAGGTGCATCCATGTCCCTGTAAATAACATACTATTATTCATTCTAGTAGATGAGTAAACTTTTATTGTATACCTATACCACATTTCCTTGGTCCACTCATCCATTGTAGAGAATCTGGGCTGTTTCTATAACCTGGGTATCGTGAATAGTGTGACAATGAACATGGATGTACAGGTGTCTTTACTGTATCCAGTATTCTGGATAGATGCATAAAAGTTGTATCACTGGATCAGAGGATAGTTCTATATTTCATTTGATAAATAGCTTTTATTGGTTGCTGAAGCTTGATGTGTTCTGTGTATACTTTGTGTTTGTGATTGACTTTAAGTGATATGAAAGTTTGAATACAATCCTCTTATGTCCTATCCTTTTCTCCTTCTGATTTGGTATTTACATATTTTTGACACTTAACTTATTCGACTTTATGTCCTAAAATAATATAATTAAATCTCTATTGATTTATAAGCTTCAAGCAGTAATGTGTTAGTGCTCTGCTAGGAAAGATATGATAAATAAATGAAGACATTTTAAGGTCTCATATACTCTTGATGTTTATTACTTTTATTATTTATTCTCACTTTGCACATTTTAAAGCATTTATATTCTGTTCTCTAAATTCAATTAAGTCTCTGTGCTTTGCCATAGATGAATCTGAAAATTAAAAACTAGTAAGTGGGGTAGGTGCCAAAGCACAGATAGATGGAAGGAATAAACTGTGGTATTCCACAGCACAGTGGGATGCCTATAGCTCATAATAACCTATTTTATATTTTATGAAGACCTAGAAGAAAGCTACTCAGAGGCTCTAAATGTAAAGAAGCAATAGGGAAGGGAAGCACTAATTATACAGATTCAATCAGCATGTGATGTATGCCTGTATTGAAATATCATGCTGTGCATCAATAATCTATGCAATTAATATGCTAATAGATAAAAATAAAAAATAGGCAATTTACATAGTGGCTATACCAATATTATAGACCAAAGAATTAATGTAAGTATTTGGTCCTATAAAGAATGGATAATCATAGAAAAACTCCTCAATTTTATTTCTTGTTGATAGCCTTTTATTTTCTCTCTTTTTTTCTGATCATCTAGCTTAGATTTTAGCCACATTTGCCTTATTTGTTAGTGAATCCACTGACCTATAAAATTTTCATTGGCATTTATTTTGTCTCCAATACTTCTTATTATTTTCTGGTTGCTTCTTTTCCACGACAGATTCGTTTTGCTTTATGTCTCTAATATCCATTCCTATCTCTCTGAAGATAATAATCTCTGCTGCATGATTGATTCTTGTTTCCTATAGCGTCTTCTGTTTGTTCACTTGGGCTATAATTGTTACCTGTTGCTAGTAAACAATTTCCCCTCCAACATTTGGCAAATAAACATCTAATCACATCCTGACAATTTCTGTAGGTCAGGACTCCAGGCCTAGCTTAGCTGGGTGCCTGTGTTCAAAAGTTTCTTACAATTTACAATCATGGCATTGACTAGGTCTGTGATCTCAGCCAAACGCTCAGATGGAGAGGATCTGCTTCCAATGTTACTTACAAGGTGGTTGGCCAAATTCATTCCTTAAGGGTTGATGTACAGAATTGAGTTCTTCAATGGTTTTTGGTGAGAGGCCTGTCTCAGTTTCTATTTACCATGGAAGTCTGAATAGAGAAACTCATGGCTGGGAAGCTGTCTGCCTTCCAAGCAGATCAACAAGAGAGGAAGGGAAGGAAAGTGAGATGGAAACCAGCGTCTTCTTGTGAACTAAGCTTGGAAGTGCCACTGGCACTTTTATAATAAACATCTATTTTTTAAACCTCTGACTTGAGGTAATCTGTTTCACAATAGACAAGTAACCCAATATATTTCACTCCTAGGCACTCTTGATTCCTTTCCTTTTTTAGTTCTTCCTTGGATCAACAGTGGTGCCAGGAGTAAACCTCAGCTCTGTTCTCTCTAAGTCTATCTCCCTCATTAAGAACCTTCGTTAGGAAGGTGGCCCCATTTTCTACAGAGAGCAGATCTAGGACATGCCACCATTGCCAATTGTACGCTCTATTTCTTTTTAAAAATTATTATAAAGGTGATGTACAGAGGGGATACTATTTCTCTTTTATTTCTTTATTTTGGGGGCATGTAGAAGGAGCCAAACTTCTGGATGCTCTGTAAGCCCTTGTCTGCGGCCCAGGCAAGTCCCATTCTTTGCAATGGTTGATTCTGAGTTTGGTGCTTCTTGGGCCACACTTGGTGAAAGTCATATTCCTGCAGGGCTTTGCAACTCTGGTTTCCAGTCTTTCCATTGAACTAATTCTGCTTAGTTTTCCTTTTGATGACATATTTTACTATTTCATAAGGCCATTAAGGTTTTGTTTTTTAAACAGAAAACACTTTTCTGAGCATATCAGTGGGACTTCAGAGATAAAGTGGGCAGGTATCAGTATGTGTCTACATGAACTCAATCCTGCATCCTGTATTGAGCTTGTGCTTTTTTTATTTCAAAAAGAAAATTAAATACCACTGTGCAACCTAATTTAACACATTACTAAGAAAGTATATGTGAAAGACAAGTATAGAATAACTTTTCTAAAGCTTTATTATTATTTACTCCTTTAGAGTTTTCTACAAAATCTTTTAATGAAGATTTGCTTTCCTTTTTTCTTCTTTCTCCTCCTCTCACTTATACTTACATAGCTCTTCTTTCTATGCTCTTCAAGTAATTTGGAGCAAATGACTTAAAAATATAGCAGATGCAATGTTCTTCTCTAATGCTAATAGCACACATGATGTAAATGCTGAGGGTGTTATTGAATTAAAATTGCAATTTTTAGAATTGTCTCGAGACTTTCATTCTAAGTATCACAAAATTATTTCAAAGTAGTGTAGTTTAGAAAGAGAATTTATTGGAAGGAGATTACCCCAGCTAACCACCCTTTTCTGTCTCAGGCTTCCTACCTGCTTTGTATCTGCCTTTCTGAACACCTGCACGTTCTTCACTTGTTTTCTGTTTAAAAAACCTTAATGGCCTTATGAAATAGTCAAAGCAGACTTGCTTTAAGTGCTCTGGTATGGCTGTGGCACACAAGGCTGTCCAACAATGGCAGCCTAAGTTTCCAGGATCATATCATCTCAGTTTAAGTAAGCAGGACAGAGGCACAGTCCCAGATCCTGAAAAGAAAAAAAAATCGATTTCGTTTATCTTGGGCTTCATATCCCATTTTAGGTTGGTTCAACCTAATCTTAAAGGTAGGTTTTATAGTATAAACATGGCTGCTGTGGTTCAGGTTCCCAAAGAAGAGTTAAGAAGGTGAAAGCCAGGAAGGGAATAGTTTTCAAAACAGTCTGATACTATTGTCCACTGAGAGATAATTTAATTTGCGGTAAGCAGGTACTCCAGGATTTCATTATCAATAGAAACCCAAGAGTGAGTTTTGTCTTTTCCATGCTCAGCCAAAGAAATAAAAACAGACAGCTGAAGGTAAGCCCAAGGAATTTAACTTACTGCCCAAATATATGTTGCTTCTGTCAGTTTTAGGAGTGTACTGGATAGTGTTACAATTGTAAAGACACTCTTGCAGATCTAGTAGTGGGATAGTTATGATATGATTTAAAAATTTTTTTTTGCAATCAGTGCTCATTCTCAAGGTTACTGCATTTATTCATTTTGGTGACAGGTCTATTTCAACTGTTCTGCCTTACCTGGGAAAATATTTTGAGTGTTACCTTGGGAACCATATGTCATAAATTCAAAAGGCCTCAATTTCGTTGATAAAGGAAGTACACTACTTTTAAAATCACTCAGATTTCCTTTGCAATTTTTTATGCTCATATGATAAAATTAAGTACATGAATTCTTAGTCAAGGATATGATGACTCAAATTCTGTATCACTGAAGGTTGACAAATATACACTGAGAATGTTTATGTAAGGTAGGGTTACAAACATGCAATGCTTGTTGGTTGTTTTTTAAAGGTAGTGTATACTGTTTCATGTGAAATTATAGAACAGTGCTTTGATGACTGACTGTAATTTTCTCTTCAGTTATGCAGACATTTTGATTGAGAGAGAGGTGTTAATGCAGAAGTACATTCATCTAGTACAGATTGTAGAGACAGAAAAAATCGCAGCTAACCAACTCCGGCATCAACTTGAAGATCAAGATACAGAAATTGAAAGGCTTAAATCAGAGGTATTTCTCAGTCGAAAATTCCTTCTCATTGTTTCCCATCTACTATCATCTCTGCATGATTATCCATGGAATATGGAGCAAAATTTTAACCCCAGGCTGAATTCTTCTGTCATTAATACGTACATACTGGGCTACTGACCTAACCATGAATTTCTTGTCTGCATTGGTTTAGGTAAGCACACTACATGGACATAGCAGGAGAGCATTTTTTAAAAAGTCTGTGCTCCTAATGTCCTGAATTAGATCTGAAATTAAACAGCTATCTATAATATGTAACTATTTTCAGACTGGGTTTTGGAGTGGGAGTTGTGAGTTTGTTTTGGAGTCATTAAAATCTAAAATCACAAGTAAGGAAAAACCAGAAATTACTTCAGAAATATTTGACTTTCTTTTTAAAGATCTAAGAAGTCCAACCTTGTCTCCTTTAGAATGAGTGAAAGTAAAATTTTCTTCCACAAATGCATTCATATTTCTTAGATTCAAAGAAAGGATCCAGGCAAAAGAAAAGAAACCTACTCTTTGCATTCTTGTTGACAGAGAGCACAAATTCCCTAGCTTTGGCACTTTCCTTGTCATGGAATAACAATTTCTTTTTCTGCCTCTCACCTCCTCCTGGGACTCACTCAGAATGCCGGGAGAAATTTCCCCCTTTGCTCCCTGGATACATCACACTAGTGCACAGAACATGATACAAGTCAGTTCCAACTGGGGTTTGCTATTTTCTCTGGGAATGATAAGTTTCCAACTGTGTTCACTGTATCTTTACAATTGTCAGCTTCCTCATTTGACACTGGTATCTGATATAATGAAAACGGCAACCGAAAACTTAACAAACTTGCATTTTAAGTGACTATATCAGGCACTGTAATTTAAAACAAAATTATTGTGTTCTCTCCTCACCACAGTGAGCTAGAGCAGATGCTTGTCTGTTGAGTGAAGCAGGTTGGTATTTACTCCAGGAGAGAAGCTTAGCACCAAGTGATGTCCCCCAATATTTATTTGTGTGAGCTTCTCTGTCTTCACTACAGTCTATTTTAGTCTGAATATAGAACACCTCTATAAACTGTCAGTAGCAGGTATGTCTTTTGTGGCTGCGTGACAGGAGCATAATTTATTTCCTACTCCCTTTATTTTCCCCACTGTTCTACCAGACAATGGTAGAGGAGTATATTTGGTATTGGGGACAAGATACAAAAAGAGATCAGAGGTGGGCAGTTATGGTCTCCTAATCTTTATGTGTTTCCTTGTTAGTAAATCTGTATGGACTCTTATACTTGTAAGCATCTGTGGTGAATATTTGTTGCTATGTGTATGTAGCCGAGAGGCCATTTGATCTTGAATTGTGCCTCACAGTGCTCAGGACTGGTCTGGGGCTATGTAGAGAATATAGGTCATTATAATCCTTTCAGCCTCTTCTGAGGAACCTGTTTGGCTGGCTTAGGCCAACATCAGGGCTCTGAGGTCTCCCTCATAACTACCATTTTCCTAAGGAGATCTGTGCCTTCTGTATGGCATGCACATGAAAGGCCAAACAAGCCAATTATGGACAAGACCTTCAAGTTAAGCACCTGCATGTGGAAAGCACAGATTTCCATGGACAATGCGTTCAGGCAAGGTGACAGGCACATCACTCAAGTCCTGAGGAGTTGGCTTGGTTAATCAGGACCAAGTTTTACCCTAATGTAGATCCCAGTGTACACTTTCTATAACATTTCTTGTTAGCATTGTCACACCAAACTTAAGGTAAAGCTCATCCTCTACCTCAGCACCAAAGGAAGAGTAGGTGCACAAAATACAATGGTTCCTTTGAGATCTCGGTGGACTAGGCTGGTAGGCAGCTCTTCTGTCCTACTATTCTGTTTCATGATTCCCTAAATCATGAGATGGACCAATTTTGTGTTACAGATTGTTGCCCTGAATAAAACGAAGGAACGAATGCGCCCTTACCAAAGCAACCAGGAAGATGAAGACCCAGACATCAAGAAGATTAAAAAGGTAGGATTTTGAAGGTTTCTGGTTCTGTGGGGACAAGGTGACCAATTGTCTATTGAATGGTGATGTCTTCGTCACCATGTCCCTGAGCTGGGAAGCAGCCTTGATATTTCTGTGCTAATGACACCCACACTTGCCCTTCATAGTGATGCAGCCATAGCTGCATCTGGAGAACTTCAGCTTGAATTTTCTTTACAGTTGCAGGAATCTTCTTTTGGACTAGGGAAGAATGAAAAACAAATATTAAGAGACAATAGCATTCTCTACTTAGGTTAATGAAGAGCTGTTGAAGGTCCTAGTTTTGTGATACTTTCATATTTGGTAGGGATTTTTAAAAACTACATTTCAAAAATATTTCCCTTAATGTTAGTATGTAATTTAGGAATGGTATTTTTTTCATGTGAGAGGATTGAACAAATCAATACATCAGCTCAGATTTGTTTTATTATTATTGCCTCTTGTTTAGCAACCACATAAACAGAACTTTCCATCTTACTGTCATTTAGAATCAAACAAGGAAGCAGACCCTGGCACTCACTCCAGCCCACTGCCTTCTGATTCATGTCGCTAAGGCTTTGATTCTGTGATCTTATTTGTCCATGTAAAACACCCGATTTGGTTAATGTTATGTAAAAGCTTTCAAATTTAAAGAACTTTTCCTGCATATGCATCTGTTTATTTATATTTCTTCCTATTATTTTCTGTTCCATTTTAAGTGAAACAAAACTTTAACCAAATACTGCTCAGAACTTGAAATGACTCTTTGGACTACGTTTTTAGTTTTCAAGAAGTAAAGATATAGATGAAGCATAGTGGCACACGTAACTGTAATATCAGCTGTTTGAGAGGTTCCAGGGCAGCCTGAGTGAAAATGAATGAGATCTTATCTCAAAATCATGATGAGTATAATGGTTAATGCCTGTAATCCAAGCTTCTCAGTAGATGGGAATGGGAGGCTTTCTGTTTGAGGTCACCTGGGCCAACTTAGTAAGGAATCTAGTTGAAAAAAAAAAAAAAAACCTATAACTGACTCAAGTGGTTAAGCATTAATACAGTAAGATTTAAGCCCTGAGTTCATTCCTCAGTGCCAATAAATAATTAGTCAAATAGTAAAATAACACTATTCTTTTCTTAGCATTTATATTTTCTACTTAATTCTGGTTTATGTTATTATATCACAAGATTAATGTTATTGCTTTACTTTTAATAGTATGCAGCTGCATGTAAACAAGGATATTAATAAAATCTAATTTTCAGTTTGGTTATACAAGCTGGTCTGTAAGTAAACAAGTGAGCCAGCTATTGTTCAGCAAAGAACACCTGTTCAAGTGAACAGAGAGATTTTACTTGACAGAAAATTTAATTAAGTTGATTTTTATAAATACTTCTATTCAATGGAAGAGTTATGATAAAATAAGTGCTTTTATATATTTTTCTACATTCATGATTCTTAATAGAGGTAATTTTAAATCTACTTTTGAACTTGTTAAATAGACTTTGAAATTAACTTTATTGTTCTTTGTCTCAAGTCAAACCAATATCTGTGGAAAGAGACAGATGTTCACAAATGAATGATCTGTCTGTCTGTCTGTCTGTCTCTTTCTCTTTGTGCTGGTCCTGGGGCTTGAACTCAGGGCCTAGGTGCTATCTCTGAGCTTTTTTGCTCAAGGTTGCTACTCTACAACTTGGGCCACAACTCTAGTTCCAGCCTTTTTGAGAGACTTAATGTAGATACACATCTCAAAGACTTTCCTGTCCAGTCTGACTTAAAACCACAATCCTTAGATTTCAGTCTCCTGAATTGCTAGGATTACAGACATGAGCCACCAGTACCCAGAAATTTCTCTATTCTTATCTTGGCAAAAATGTATTTTCTTTACTTCAAAAGACCACAATTTGAAAATGGCTATAATTCATAGATAATTTAATGTAAATTTCCAAAAAAATATGCATATAATCTCTCCCATATAATTCTATTAATGTATACATAATTTTTATTATTCGAGGTATAAGCAACCTTAATACATATATAAAATTGAAAAAAATGAGGCAACTTTAAACCTCGCAAAGGAGTGGTGATATTTAAATGAATAATTTATAGTAAATGGGTAAAATAGTATGAAAAAAATCTAAAACCAGATTTAGTCGTAAATTAATGTTTTTAATTTTCTATGAATTTTCAACCTGTGCTTTCTTGTTATATCTGCCACAGCCAAAGTGGCAAATCTTAATTATCATTAATTTTTATATTTAGAAAGGATCTTTTATTTGGAGTCTAATTATATATGAGAAAAAAGAGGACCAGAGTTCAATAATCAGCAGATTATTGGTAGAGTCTTTGAGTTAATGATTATGATATATATCATATTATACATATATATATATCTGCTTAGTATCTCCTATTTATCTATTAAAAATACTAGAAAAATTATGACCATGGCTCCAGAGCCAGAGGTTTAGGCCAGAGATTGAGTGTTTGGAGACTCTGAATTCAAACCCAAGTGCCACCAAACAGTAATATTGAAATAATATTTTGAGTTAGTGTAGACAGGCTTATGTTGTGGAAGAAACTTGTGAATCTGAGAAAAATACCTTTTAAATCATCTTTTTTTTCCCTTGCTTTTTAGCAAATGCTTGCCATTTTTCCCATTCTGGTGTAACCACTGGGACACCCATGAAAGAAAACAGGATTGTATGAGGCACGGGATGGATGTACTTCATGGCAGGCTTAAGTAAGCCAGTCTACACTTCCTTGAGGTTCCTTTCTGTCTTTTTGTTCTGTAGGTTCAGAGCTTCATGAGAGGATGGCTGTGTAGAAGAAAATGGAAGACCATTGTGCAAGACTATATTTGTTCTCCACATGCTGAAAGTATGAGGAAGAGAAATCAGATTGTGTTCACCATGGTGGAGGCAGAGTCAGAATATGTGCACCAGCTCTACATCTTGGTCAATGGGTTCCTCCGGCCCCTGCGGATGGCAGCCAGCTCCAAGAAACCCCCCATCAGCCATGATGATGTCAGCAGCATTTTTCTCAATAGGTTTGTTCTTGCATAGATCCATGTTTTGTGAAAAGCTCCCTCCTTCTCTCCTGCTTTCCCTCCCTCCCTCCCTCTTTCTTCCTCTCTTCTTTCATCAGGTACTGGGGAATTGAACCGAAGGCCTCATATATGCTGTGGAAGTACTATACTATTCTTGTGCTTCTATGGGGGATTGTGTGTGTGAAGATATTCCCTCTTACAAACTGAAACATTAACTGCAAAGTAACTGTGGACATTATTGGTAACTTTGATAAGGCGCCAAACCCTGATTAGAGACAACATAGGAGAGAATGGAATAGAAGACAGGAATAAAAGAGAAGGGTATAGAAGAGTCTTTCAAGAAAGGTTATTCTAAAGTGGATCAGAGGACAAAGGATGTAGTTCCACAGTAGAGCTTTTGTCTAAATGTGTGAAATTTAGGTTCAATCTCCAGAACAAAAATAAAATAAATAGGTAATGATAAATAGAGGAGAAAAGTATGATTCAGGCAGAAGAGAGTGTGTTACACTGAAATAGAGTCCTATGGACTTTTCTGCCTGGGGTGGCCTGGAACCTTGATCCTCTTAGTCTCAGCCTCCTATGTCACTAGCATGACAAATGCATGCCACTACACCAGCTATTGATGGAGAAAAGATCTCAAATGAACTTTTCTGCCCAGGCTGATGTTGAACTGTAATCATTTTGAGCTCAGACTCACAAGTAGCTAAGATTACATAGTGGATAGCTTGAAGATGTATACTTTTATAGAGTTGCTTACAAGGTGTTAGTTGTCATAAGTGTTATTAATTAGATTATCTTTCCTTGCTTGTTTGTGAAGCTCCAGGCTGTTCAATTATTTTCAGTTTTAAAAAAATACTAGATGGTGGGCGCTGGTGGCTCATGCCTGTTATTCTAGCTACTCAGAAGGCTGAGATTTGAGGATTGTGGTTCAAAGCCAGCCTGGGAGGGAAAGTCCATGAGACTCTTACCTCCAATTAAGCACTAGAAAACCAGAAGAGGAGCTGTGGCTCAAGATGTAGAGTACTAGCCTTGAGCTGAAGAGCTCAGGGACAGCACCCAGGCCCAGAGTTCAAGACCTACGACAAACAAAACAACAACAACAACAACAACAAACTAGATAAGTACTTATTCCTAGTATATGTCACCAATGCAAAAGAATAGTTATTAAGAAGATACAAATATGATGTAGGTACAAATAACAACAATCAATGCAAAACATCTTACTACTAACGCACATCATTTAGTTACATCGTAAAGTAAAACCATGACAATTTGATGTGACATGACATTATTTTCAGTTTTGACACAGAGTTTATACTTAACTAAAAGTAATCTACCTAATTATGTATAGCATCAATTCACCTGTTTTCTGATTATTCAGGCAGGAATCAAAATATGAAAGTAAATGTATCAATTAGTTTTCAATGTAGGAGTGAGTAAGCTCTCTCTGACTGGAGGAAATTCTCTGTTTATAGAATTTTTTGGAAAGCGTGGAGAATTAACACTGTCTGTAGGGTCTTGAATTTAAGGGCATGACATCAGAGATGTGATCCAGGGGCTACAAACCACGGCCAGTCCCCCAGCCTCTGAAGTTTGTTACCAGAAACTAAAATGCTGAGGCTTAGTGGTAAAATTGCCCCTCCCCTCCCAATACATCTCCTTTACTGACTTTCAACAACAAAAGAATGGTATCTACTTATACCTTCCTTTTTTATTATTAATTTACTTTATTGTTATTATAGAGGTGATACATAGAGGGATTACAGTTACATGAGTCAGGTAACAAGTACATTTCCTTTTGTATAGTGGCTTCTGTTCCTTTATTCTCTCCCTCCACCTGTCTCTGCCCACAAGTTGTATAGTTCACTTTCATTAGCATCCAGTGAGCTTCATGGCTGCAAGTTTTCACTCTTGTTCCTTTGAATTCTGTACCCTCCTCCTACCCTTCTGAAGACATATACTTGAATATACCATACCTACGGTGAAGAAGACAGAGTCATCAAGAACTAAAATAGTAAAGAAAGAAAGGAAGAAAAAGAAAAAGGAGGCCTCTTGTTTCTGTATCTTGGAGTTTGTTTCAGCATGTATATTATTTTATGTAAATATGAAGAGGCACTTAGGCATTGGGCCTTTGTGTTCCTCTCTTAAGATTATCCTTTATTGATCTCACTATGTATGAGTATCTAGACTCTTGTATAACTTATCATATGCCAGTGTATTTTAGACCTAATTTCCACATATGAGAGAGAACATGCACCATTTGTCTCGCTGAGCCTCACTTACCATGATTTGTTCTAGTTCCACCCATTTCCCTACAAATAACATTATTTTATCTTTCTAATGGCTGTTTAAAATTCCATTGTGTATAAGCAGTGAACGCAGATGTGCAGGTGTCTTTATTATATCCTGTCTCATGATGTTAATGATAGATACCTGGCAGTGGTATGGCTGGGACGTAGGGAAGATCTATGTTTACTTTTTTGAGGAACCTCCAGACAGCTGTCCAGAGTAGTTGTACTAGTTTACATCCCCACCAACTGTGTAGTAGGGTTTCTTTCCCCCTCTATCCCTGCCAACATTTGTTGTTCAAATTTACACTGTTGGCCAATCTAACTGAGTTGAGATGAATCTCTGAGTTGTTTTGATTTGCATTTCCTTTTTGGACATGGATGATGAGCATTTCCTCATGTGTCTCTTTGCCATTCTTACCTCTTCTTCTGAGAAGTCTCTTCTTAGCTCTTTGCCCATTTAGTGATTGGTTTATTAGGTTTGGGAGGGGTTAGTTTCTTGAGCTCTTTGTACATATTGGATATGTAGCTTTTGTCTGATATATTGTTGATAAAGATCTCCTGGTCTGTTGATGCTGGGAAAACCGGGCAACCTTATGCAGAAAACTAAAAGTGGATTCCTGTTTGTTATCAGGCACTAATAGCAATTCAAAGTGGATCAAAGACCTCACATCAGACCCAAAACTTTAAAACTACTGCGAGAGAGTAGGGGGGAGCTTATAGGGATCATAGGAAATGTAGAACTTAGAGGTATAGGTAGAAATTTCTTGAAATGAGTCCCAGAGGCACCACAGATAGGATGGAAACTTGACAAGTAGGACTTATCAATCAAAATGAAGTTTCTGCGCAGCTAAGGACATGGATACTTCTATCTTTCTTGTCTTGTCAAGTGTATATCCTACTGGTAGAAGTGTATTTACATCCAGAATGTAGCTGCCAGGGAGTCTGGGAAATGTAATTTTAGCTCACTTCCATCTCTGACTAAGAGGATGGAAGTCAATTGAAAGACTAATTTATAATACCTGTTAAAGGACATTTGATTGAAATCCTTGAACATCACATACTACTTAAACTTTCTTTAAAAGAAGAAAGTCACAGTGTCAAATTTTGTTTTTGTTTTAATGGACTCTTTGGAAGTAGGGAGAATTTATCCTGATATTTATTGTTGTGAAATTTGACCTACAACACACCAAGAGCTCTTCCTGAAAAGAATAATTATGTTTTCCTTCAGAAAAGGCTTCAATAGCTTATTCTAATTAAGAGAGAGCAAATTATATTTGACTCTGGAAACTATCCATAGCCCTTTTAGAATGTTAGATCCTTAATTTATGTATAATTCTCATTTTAGTATCTCTGGATAGGCCCCACTATTTTCAGAAGATAATGCTATATTTCTGTCTTAACTATCTTAGAAGTACAGTAGAGTTCTGTGATTTTTTTTTGCTATGGATTTTTTTTCCTCCTTGTCAAAACTCATTTCAATAAAAGAGAAACCTTTCCTTGCATTTTCTAGAATCAAATAGGAAAAGACAAAGGATCATAACTTTAATTTTCTGATTATCAGTTGAAGTGCTTCATTCTAACAGTAGAAAGCTCACTTTTAAATGATGAAGAGGGTATGACAACAGTTTGATATTTCTTATGTTCTACTGTTTAAGGCTTATGTTGGAGTTTTCTTTGGGTTTTGTTGCAGTTCTATAAAAGAGAAATTGCTTTATGAAGGCTAATACAACCCATGTTATTATTGTACAGTTTGGAGTCTCTATAAACTAGTGTTCTGTGTATACAATATGCTTTAAGCACTTACTGGGTTCTATTGACAAAGTAATCACTTTACAGAGACTAAATTGTATCTTTTTTGTATTTTATAGTGAAACAATCATGTTTCTTCATGAAATATTTCATCAAGGACTGAAGGCAAGGATAGCAAATTGGCCTACTTTAATTTTAGGTAAGTGCGTTCTTTGAAGATAATTTTTTTTTCTTCCAGAATGATTACAATTACATTTATGCATTATTCTGAGTTGCCTGAAGTTTACTTTTGACCTGTGAACTTCTGTAAGCAGAAGTTTGGGGGTCTTTTGGGCCCTGTCTTAGAAGTTCCTTTCACCCCTTCTCCTGGTCTGTCATAGGTCATTTAGGACTGATGTCACATTTTATCCCAGAGTAGGTTTTCCCTAATCTGTCATTTAACATGAGCACTGAGACCCGTGCAAGTATGACACTTAATTCTGGTAGGCAGAACAAAGCAATCTTTGCTCTTTGATCTTCCCATTGAATGTAGATAATTTACCAAGCAGCAAGGGAAACAGCCATGTTTTCTTCTCTTTTCCAGCTGATCTATTTGATATTTTGCTGCCCATGCTAAACATTTATCAAGAATTTGTGCGTAATCACCAGTACAGTCTCCAAGTACTCGCCAACTGTAAGCAAAACAGAGATTTTGACAAACTCTTAAAACAATATGAAGCCAACCCTGCCTGTGAGGGGAGGATGCTGGAAACATTCTTGACCTACCCAATGTTTCAGGTAAATCCATTGCTGTGCATCTTATAAGTCATTGGTTCCAGCTCAATGCTGTGCCCTTAGGGGGCTAGAAGCCTCTGTGAAGTGTGTCTGGGAAGAATTATGCAGCATGTCATCTTCTTAACTTTAGCTCTGAGACAAAAAATATATGACACACATTCTCTCTGTGTATAGTATATGTAGAAGACCAGGCATTTAAAAGTGTGTGTGTGTGTGTGTGTGTGTGTGTGTGTGTGTGTGTTGCTAGTTATTGACCATAGAGTTATGTAAATATGGAGCAAGTGCTTTTTGCTCAGCTATATCCCCAAACCAGAAAACAAGCATTTTTAAAGTACATAATTCAAGAATGGTGTTGCTTTATAAGTAACACCATTTTCTCCTCATAAAAAGATTCCACACAGACCTCTTTCATACAGTCTCCTCCTCCAGCATGTTTAAAAATATTATTAGGTTTACAGAAATAGGATTTTGTGCAAATGTTCCAGTTTATGCCGGTTGCATAAAAGGTTCCTGGGGACTGAAGTGACTGCTGGGATGGTCTCTTTGTTTTGCATTCTGTCTTCCCACCCCATCATGATGGTTGATGAGTTTCCTTTGGCTGGAGCCAAGGGAAGGCCTCTTTGGTCACTGAGGCTGTGAAGATCTCAGAGCCAGAAGTCACTGGCTAGGCCTGGGGACTGTTGGCGCCTGGTTTAGTAGCCTCACTGAGGTAGGCCAAGATCCAGAGTTCACTTTGGAAGATGAGAGAAATGCATGGGATCAAGTATACTTGCACTCATTCCTGGATCTAGGGCTTTGCCACTCAGAGCTCTGTCTGAATTAAGTAATCTTAGGGGCCAAAACATGCATTGGATCTTTTGCTCCTTTGAAATATGTCGATTCTGTTCTTTTGGAAAGGCATTGAATGTTCCCATTGTGGAATTTATGGGGCTTCTGGCAAGACCTCCAGATTGTCATGTGGTAAACCAATTGTACTGAGCATGTGTTGTGGTTATGGTGGACTGCTTTGTCCCACTAAGCAATCATCTCTGACCTTGGGCCAATCATTTTGTAGGCTTAGAATGAAATGTCGTTGTGGTCCATAATTGTTTGCCTGAAAACTCTGTCTTTCTCAAAACCCTGGAAGATGTCATAGAAGTGTAGAAGATTTTTAAAAAAGGATACATTTGAAGCCATTTAAGTGTAATGAAGTTTCATAATGTTCTATCTTTTTCATGGAACTAAATTGTTCAAACTATTTGCTTCTCTGAAGAAATATTTCACAATAAAAATTTCAGACTTTGATTGTACCATATCCATAATTGGAATTTGAGGGTTTATTTACAGTGAAGCATTTTATGTAGTTTACTAATCGGTGGTTTTATTTTAATTTTCAACACTTTTCTCTAGGTGATGATTCTCCAAATTGTACCTGTCAGTAGGTCAAGGCAGGTGAATATTATAAAGGTGGAGTTATGAAAGAGGCGTAGAACATCTAGAGAAGTTCTTAGTTGTCTTTCTGATTCCGTGCTAGTTTCAGGTTATGTAATTCCCTCTTACTGTGATTTTCTTGTGTTTTTCTTTTTCTTTTTATTTGTGTTTGCTGGTACTGGGAGGCTTGAACACAGGGCCTCGCACTCTTGTTTTGATTTTTTGCTCAAGGTTAACACTGTACCACTTGAGACATACCTTCACTTCTGGCTTTTTGCTGGTCAATTGGAGTTAAGAGTCCTGCAGACTTTTCTGCCACTGCTAGCTCTCTTGATGTTTTAAGTGGCAGAACTACATTTGTTCCGTAAACAAGGGGCCTAAAAACAGTTGAATACAGGGCCTTAGAAAGGTCTTCGGATTCCTTAAGAATGGTGAGATGCTCTTTCACCATCTTCCCTTTCTCCTCCTAGAGTTTGAGCCCAATAAAAGTGACTAAGCATTTTAATTGATGCCAGCACATCCCCATAGTAAATAACACTGGACTGGGAACACACTTCTTACTCTAATGGAGGCACCTGAGCTCTGCTTATTTCTAAGACTTCTGCTTTCTGACTGTTGTCCTGGGAGACTTTGTTGTCTGGACAGTTTAATTGAGCAATCATGTGGTGTTGCAGAACATAGGGTTAGCTAGGAACCCCCCTCCCATACTGTAGTGACCTCAAGCCCAAGAATTTAGTGGAAAGGTCAGATGTTAAGATTATTTGGCTTCTTCCAGACCAGAGTAACCTAAACTTTGTGAAAGCCATGGCTCTGGGAGAAGCTATAAACTAAAAGAATTTATCTGAAATTGGCTCAATTGCAGGACATAAGCAAATAGAAAGAACACTAAATTGTGCTTATTTGTTTTATTACAATGTAGAAGAGAGTAAGAGGAGAAATCATAGAGTGCTGCATGTAGATCTTGTGGTCCTTTGTATATCTCCTCTGTCTTCAGTTGGTGGCTTTTCAGCCTGCCTTATTTCAAGGAGTGAGAATATGAAATGTTTGTGGGGAGGGGGTGGAGCATTTCCCTGTCTAGAAGCCTGAAGGCTTATTTCTTACTAGATTCACTGGTTTGGTGTGGTTCTTTCATTAATGAGGTAGAATAGTCATGAAGATATACTCTCTCAGAGCCTGGGATGCATCAAGTTTCCTCTACACACACTGAATTGCAGGAATATCTCCTTGCCTCCACCTTGCTCCTGTAGAGGTGGAAACTTTTGTATTAATCTAGGGCACCATGAAGAGGTGACCTTTAATCATACTGCTAAGAGGAGGCTCTGAAGTCAAACTGATTTGAGCTCAGATATGAGCACACAGGTTGGTGTAGGTGTGAGGGAGAGCAGATGGTTATTGCCTACTTCCTATTGAATCATTTGATTGATTATTAGTGTTACTGAACAATGGAACTATGGAGTAATTATAGAATATTTTTGGGGGGGGGTCCGGTCGTGGGGCCTGAACTCTGGGCCTGGGCGCTGTCCCTCAGCTCTTCAGCTCAAGGCTAGCGCTCTACTACTTGAGCCACAGCGCCACTTCCGGCTTTTTTCTTTTTGCTTATGTAGTGCTGAGGAATCGAACCAGGGCCTCATGCATGCAAGGCAAGTGCTCTACCACTGAGCCACTTTCCCAGCCCCTAATTGTAGAATTTTTATGATGCAGCAACATTATTCCCAATGGGACATCTAGACTCGTAAGTCCAAGTGTTACCAAGAAAATTTTTAATGGAAAATAATATAGATATTAATAAAAATTTTTATTTAGCAAACACATAGGCTTGGGTGGTACTATTTAAATTGGCTTTGACTACTCATCTATTTATTAGGATACATATGTTTTAGAAGTCTATAAGCAAGTTGATTATGCAATCTGCTACTGACAAGACCAGCACTGATAGGTGTCATTATGCAATTAGTGACTGTCATTGGAGAAGTAATTAACATAGAATGATTAATATTAATTAATATAGAGGTAATTAATACAGAGTAAATAAAATTAATAGTAATTAATAGAGCTAATTAGTATAACATAATTAATGTTAACCAGGTAGCATTAATTAATATTAGTTTGACCAACATAGAGTAACTAGTATCTGTTCATTGTTAAAGTCAGTATGTATTGAATTTCAGCAGCCACTGTGATTATGGAGTTTCTCTCTCAACCTATTGGCAATCAGCTCTTGCCTATACCAATGAGCTCTTTTTAGAGTAATTAATTTCTCTGCAGAAATGTCTCTCCCTGCTTTTTTGGCAGTGCTAGCATTTATTTGTTTGTGGAAAGGGCCAGTTACCGAATTCAGCTCCATCCATTTGAATCTTAGCCAGGGAGATCTTTAAAATAGATTTCCCTAATGGAGGAGGATCATGAAGCTATTGACTAAACTTAGTTTTGTGTGGTTGCAGTACATTGTAAGTAGTCAGATTCTCCCACTCCTTCACCTCTGTTATAAAAAAAAATGGGTACACTAGCTGTTGATTGCTCAGTTTTCTGTGGAACTAGTAACTCTACTGCAAACTGTTATCCATCATAGGATTGTGCCACAAAAAGTGATATCTAAAAGCATCTAGATCCCAGAAGACTACAAGATATCATTGAAGGTGGTTTTGGTGAGAATTATGTAATGAAGAGAGCAGTGTCTCCTGTGTTTCCCCCTTCTAAGAGTTCGACCCTCTTAGTTGTTCTTGACTGTGCTGCCAGAGGCCTTGACTTGGCCATAGAGCTTAAGTTCTGTATCTGTGTCATAGGTGACTGAAATGTGTGCTAATATACAAAATATTAATAAATGGACCATAAAGGCCACCACCTGCATGAGAGAAAAAGCAGGTCCACAAACAGGCCACCAGATCACCAGATAGATTCTCCCTCTGGGGCTTCACACAGGGGTCTGGCAAGCTGTTTTCTGTCCTTATTCCCAGAGATCCTTATTAGTACTGACTAAGACCCCAATCCTACAGAAGTGACCCACTGGGGTGTGATCCTTAAGGGAAATACTGTAGGAGAGTCCCACAGCTAGCTCTGCCATTTGCCAAGTGGCCACCTTGGACAAGTCACTGGACCTCGTCCCACTCCATTATTTTACTTGGAGAGTAGATAAGTAATTTTACATCCATGGATGTGTCTGCAAAGTCTGAAGCATTCTCAGCTGCACAGTAGGCAGGTTTGTGGAAGCTGTTGTTCATGTGTGCTACTAAAATTAAACTCACAATTCATGCTTCCTAAAAGTACTCTGTTTTGTAAGTCAGGAAGATAAATATGTGTACTGATAAACTGTAATTTAAGTTAGATCTCTACCATGTCCTATTAAAATCCTGATATGATTGGTGGTGTTTCTGCCTTTGATAGAATTCAGGTAGAAAAAGTACAAATAAGCCGGGTGCCTGTGGCTCACGCCTCTAATCCTAGCTACTCAAGAGGCTGAGATCTGAGGATCGCGGTTCAAAGCCAGCCTGGGCAGGAAAGTTCATGAGACTCTTATCTCCAATAAACCACTAGAAAACTGGAAGTGGTGCTGTGGCTCAAGCGGTAGAGCGCTCACTTTGAGCTGAAGAGCTCAAGGACAGCGCCCAAGCCTAGAGTTCAAGCCCTATGACCGACCAAAATAAAAAGGTACAAATAAATAAATAATCTAAGTAGACAGTAGTTTTAGAGATGGATCAGAATGTAGTAAGGGAGAGATTAATGCCATTGTATTGTCAATTTTTAAAAATTATAAAGATAAATAAAATATAGGCTCAAGTTACCTGGTGATAGCTCTAACTTTCCCTATGTGCAAATTTCCAAAAACCAAAGCAAAAAATAATAAAATATTAAATGTAAAATATTAAAGAAACAATTTTTTGTACTTGAAGACTTCATTTATTACTACCTTTAATTTGGTGATAATCATACTCTAGCTGTTATTTTTATTAGCATCAATTAGTTGCACAAAGGCTTTAATTTTAGCATGCTTATTTGTGTATACAATAATACATCTTGATCAGAATCATCCATCATTCTCCCTCTTCCCTTCTCTTCCTTCCTAAACCCTTGTAGTTTTACTTTATTCTCCTTCTGTCCCCCTCTTAGTCCACTCCCACTAGTCCTGACACTCCAGACATGTTTAAATTCTAATCCTAGCATTCATATTTCTGTAGCTACCTTTTCTTATGTTCTGGGTGAAGTCTTTTTTGGGGTGTATGTGTGAAGTTTTGCATAGAGAATTCCCCATACATTCCTTTAAAGGATTATTTGTAAAACAATTAAATTTATGACACTAGAGATCAGCTTCTCAGAGACGATGGCACTGCAAAGAGCGTCTCCATGTCACTCCTCCTCACCTCTTGCTCAAATTGGCTTTTGTTTCATTTAGATCCCTAGATATATCATCACGCTGCATGAACTCCTGGCTCACACACCTCATGAGCATGTGGAGAGAAAAAGTCTGGAGTTTGCTAAGTCAAAACTGGAGGAACTGTCCAGGTATGCAGAGAGTTTGTAATAAAGTCTTGTGATGGCAAAGCAGCAACTTAGTCTCCTTTGGGCACCTATTATGCATGTTTCAAAGATCAGGGAGTAAAATATAAACCCAATTCTCATATTCATCTTCAATTTAAATGTGGATCTGGATCATCATTCACTTTATTTACTTATGTATTTAACCTGTACAAGTGCTTAAAGTCAGGGATTTACGCTCACATAGCTTTTTGTGTTCACAGCCGTTGCTCTATCACTTGAGCCATGCCTCTAGCCAGCATTTTGCTGCATAATTGCAGATAGTCTCTTGGACTTTTCCTCCTTGCTTGACTTTGAACCATGATCCTTCAAGTCTCAGCCTCCTAAGCAATGTTTTATAGCATGTGAATTTATGTAACTGAGATTAGGTAAAATTTGGTTTAAATTTGGAAATATTCACAATTTTCCTTCAAACTGGAAAAAAATAGCATTCAGCTGCATTTTGCTATTCATATTTGGCAAAAAAAGCTACAGAACTTAGAATTTGCATTTCTTTTTCTTTTCTTTTTCCAATTGCTTTTCGTTTTGGTACCACTGGAGTTTGAACTCAGGCATTCATAGTTGCAGGCACTCCTCTGCTTGAGCCATGTCTCAGTTTCCCAGTTTGCATTTTTTGATGACTTTTCATTGTTGTTGGAAGTTATTTATGTCTATGTTCCTTTAGATTATATGGGATAAATTTATTTTCTTTCTAAGGAGTACTTCAATGGAGCTAGCTATGTATAAAATGATAGGTTGTTTTCATGTTGCATGCAGAGCCAGCATTCCCAAGCTACTCACTGACGGCTGAGTTGTTTATCATTTATAATCATCTCATGTATTGACCTTGCTTTGGCCAATGCACGAGATGACTGAAAATTCTCAGCATGTTCCATATGCTTTGAACTTGTACCAATTTAATCAAAGCAAGTTCAGAATCAAGCTTCCTAGCTGAAGCTCTTCTTTGCCTATGCCCTGGGACAATAGCTAATATCTCTTGCTGTGATCCTGTCTGCATTGTGTCTGACAGGGTGATGCATGATGAAGTGAGTGACACTGAAAACATAAGGAAAAACCTTGCTATTGAAAGAATGATAGTGGAGGGCTGTGATATTTTGCTGGACACCAGCCAAACTTTCATCCGCCAAGGTAAGTTCTTGTCATATAGATCCATGACCTTTGGGATCTGTGTAGCAGAAGCAGGGATGCATTCTGGAGCAGGCCTCATTTAACTGTGTGATTGGTGCAGTTCATGGAGAACATCCTCATGGCCTTATCCGAGGCTGTGGTTGAGGCCCACCTCTGTGCTGTTTCTTTTCAGGGGCCATGAATAACAGCAACACAATAATAGTAAAGCACGAGTGGGATAGTAAGTTACACTCTGGCTGGACTCTTCTCCTCAGTGGACCAGACATTCTCTGCAGCTTCATGGAAGACAGATCGGTTTGGCCAATGGAAGTGGCAATGCAAGGTGGTGATGATATCCAGACAAAGGTCCAAGAGAAACTTGCGTACCTCAAAGCCCTTTCACACAAAAGTGAAGACAATGTCCGAAGTGAAAATAGCTGTTTCTTGTTCCCATTTCTCATCAGCACTTCTGGAGCAGCCCTATGACATAATTTCATTCAAGTGGTGACATCCGTTAGCAGATAGAATCTTTCCTGGTAGATCGCTGACATGCTTTGGTCATGGTGAAGCTATTGTGCGTGGAGAGCAGGCTTTGGGGACATCACCCAGTAATTTCACTTTTGAAACAATGAAGATATTTGTGCCAGAAAGTGGAGAAGCAACAACCTGGCAGAGTACCTTCCTTCTCAACTCCTTTTTCTCCCCCTCACATTATCAGTAGTCAATGACATCTCAAGTTCCTGTTACGTGCTTAGATATTTTGGGAAAGCAGGGCATGTTCTTATAATGGTTTGGGACAATCAATATGCTATATTGATTACATTTACAATTTTGAATTTGGTGATGAGTGGAACATGAATTCAGATCTCAAAGTAATCATGACATTTTTGTGGTTATAGCGTGCCAATGTCCTTTGAAGAGATTTGTCTACCATAGTGTGCTGTAAAACCAGTTTTTTTTATTAACCACATCAAAAAAGACATTGTGCTGTGCACATTAATTTTTGCACAGACTTCTTAAAATGTTTAATGCATGCCATTCTATTTTCCATTATTTATTTACAACAAGAGAAATCAAACATATGTTAGAGTTTGGAAGTATATTTTAGGAAATATATGCCGGTTCCCATTTTCAGCTATTTTTTCTTTAAATAATAGTGGATTACAATGACAACATTGGGTTTTTGCAGTTCCACTTGGATTCTCTGCACAGTGCCCCTTTCTTGGCTTTGTGCTTGCTAAATACTTTGTATTTGTACATTCACCTACCAGAAGCCAGGAACCTTGGGATATTTATAAGGGCCATTTGGATACTTAAAATTCTATTCACAGGCCATACAAAATTATCAACATGGGCAACCAATGAGAAGTATATGAAATGTGTGTGTGTGTGTGTGTGTGTGTGTGTGTCTTATAATGTACCAAATGATTTTGACTGAGTATTCCAACCCTTGATATCACTTATGTGCCTAGGGCAGGTCTTAACAGGCTTATGTCAGATACCTTTAAGAGCCTTTTGTAAATCCTTCCACTTTCTGCCCATCCTCAAGTTAACATGAATCAACCTTCCTTTCCACTTCCAATATCTTTTGCTCTTTGTGCATGGATTCTGTCATTCTCTATATAGGTATCTGTCTGCATGCCTTTCTATCTATGAGCTCCAAAGGGCAATATTTATGAATTCTTTCTGCTTCAGCTTGTCTAAAATGATGTTTACATTATAGTTGCCTGTACAATGGGCAATGAAGTAAATTGAACTATTTATTGGATTGTAATCTGTTTGTAAGTTATAATATTTTATTTTTATTTGCTACTTTTTCTTGCATCTGGAGTTCACCAAAGATGCCTATTAACTTACTTGTATTTTATAATATGGGAGAATGGAAACACAAATTTCTCTCATGAGCATGTAACTTCTTAAAGGACTTTTGGTTTGATGGTGTAATTACCCATAAACGTTTAATATATTTCTTAGATTGTACAAGTGAGTTTGTAAATGTACCATACTAAGAAATGTTGGAATGTTGACATGTCAAATACATTGAATGTCTTTTTTTATTGCACTTGGAGAAAAAAAAATCATGTGTCACTTAAAGTCATGTCTATATGTTATTTATTCCTTATTACATATCTTATTTAAGGCACTCTTTGAGTTTTTATTGTTTCTTTCTGGTGTTACTATATTAAGGTCAATATGGCCATTTGCCTTTCAGCAGTATTTTTCTGCATGCTTGATCTAGTTAGTGTGCTAGTAATCATTCAATAAAGGTGTTTCTAAATGCTGGATGCTCATCTGAAAGTAGAAAGTGCTCAGTTATAGACAATTTAGAAAGTTTGCACTGTTTTGGGAACTTCTCTTCAATTTTTTTACTGCTGAGTGGAATTAAGAAGAAGGCATTAACCAGGCCTGAAGGGCATTCTGTAAAAAAGGCAGAACTCCTGCTGTAGGTCAGCCCCAATTATTAGATAAACTGGTGATCTGGATGCCAAGAACCAGGCCATAGGAATGGTTTGATGCTAAGGAATTACTAAGTCAATACCATCTCTCTATTTTGTATTAACTAAAGTGGAATCTTTTCTTCAAGTTTCCTGGCTATGCTGAAATATAAATGTCAAACATAAAACTGAATGTTAAAACAAGTCTACATAAAATTCTTTTAACAAATATTTATTTTTATAAGCCCATTCATGTTGAAACTTACTTTTAATTCATATAGAGTTTTGTCCATACATAGTATATGTAGTTATAGATCATACACATTAATGCGTAGTTGCCAAGGAAATGTTTATTTTTTTAACCTCAAAGTGGAAATTCACAGTAATTGCTAATATGTATGCTAGCAGTGTATTTTGTAATTTCTGAGTTAGAAAGTTACTAAATTGCTAGATGCATTTGTCAATGAGCTCATTATTATTGACTTTTTACAGACCTGGTTATTAGTTTTCTGAAAATGGCAGTCTAACCCATTTGTCTACTCAGACATGGGTCTAATCTTGTCCTTCAATAAGCCTAACTAATCTACCTGGAAGACTCGGGCTCAAGCCAGAATTGTCATTGTCTTAGGCCATCCTTTACCCTTCTAAGTACTACTTTCTTATGCTGTTAAATTCCCTTCCGTATCCTAACTTGGTTCCTTAGATGGGGATGATTTGGGGAGAGCTACTTATTATGTCTCTGGCCTCAGTTTTCCCACATGGAAAAATGGAGAAATTATGCCTTCTGAAAAACTTCTGGCTTTGACACCATACTGTTACTCTTGTGAGGACAACTTATTAACTTTTCTAACTTTTTGCCTTCTGCTTCCTATATACCTCCTCTACATTTTAAATTTAATTCTGCGAGTTATATGAGTTGTCTATCAGTTTGCTCCCACCTATGCTGCCTCCTCCATCCACTCCCTTCTTGTCCAATCACTTCCCTAGAGCTTTCTCTTGGCCCTTTGTTCCTCACTCTGGTTGCCACCCCCAGGCTGGTTCTATGCTATTCTTTGGGCCCAGAATAACTGCCTACTCTCTGTCTGTCATGCATCCCACCTAAACACTCAACTAAATAGATGATATGAGATCAGGGCATAGACCCTTAGTCCTTTATCACCCAGCACATTTTTTTTCTACCTTGTTAAGGGTAGAAGCCATTTGGAAAACTCATATGTGAAGATTGTGACTCACAATCACAGTTTTATTGTCTTACGTATGTATGTTCTTTTTATAAAGAACTTCGATGTTTTTCCACTAATAGAAGTAATCTGTGCTTGTTTAAAATATCATGAAACTTCAACACATATGAAGAAGAAAATAAAATTGCTGCAGTCTCCTCTCTTAGTGATGACCACTGTTAAAACTTAAGGGCTGAATATATGTATATATATATATATATTATTATTTATGTAATGATTTTTAAAATTATGCCAGTACTGGCTTTCAACCAGGGGCACTCCATCTCAATTGGCTTTTTAGCTCAAGGATAACACTCTTCCACTTGAGCCATACTCTCATGGACTTGGAGATGAGAGTCTCATGGATTTTTCTGCCCAGCCTGGTTTCAGACTTCAATCCTCAGATGTCAGTTTCCTGAGTAACTAGTATTACAGGCACGAGCAACAAATGTTCACCCCATTTAATGGTTGTTATGAGGTTGAAAGAAGCTGGTGCATTTGGGGTAGGTCATGGATTAAACAAATACAAGAAATATTCCCTAGGAGATGGGACAAGTCTAAACCCAAAGCATTTTCCAGGAATCTGTCTTCTTACTTTTGATTTGATATTTAACAGAGATTAGAATTTTATTTTATAGGGCCATGGAGGTTATTATTAGAGTACAGTCTAAAATATACTAGAAGTAATCTTGATATTATATAAAGTATGCCCATTAACTTCTCATTTCAAATGAAAGATAGCTCATGTGAGTGTTCTGCTTTTATGTGGTTTATTACACAAAGAATTTTTATCATACATAATTTCTTTATGGTTTCTTTTTATTAGTGTATATTTATACAAAGTAATGGTTTCATTGATTCACATATAACTTAAAAGCAACTGTCCTTTTAAAACTGGTCCTTTAAAAAGAGCTGTTCCTTACTGAATTACATAGAAATATGTAACTCATGTATTTTTTATAATATGCATGCACTATGCCCTCTTTTAAATCAAAAGTATACTCTAATCATATTCTATTTATCTATTTTCATTGCTTCAAGGAGAATAAATTCTATATGCTTTTATGTAACTTCAGAATTTGTATGGTATCATTATGAATGAATTTCCTGGTTTTAGATCACTGAGGACAAGAGGAAGAAGTGCCTATTCTTTAAATTAAATTGACCTTTTAAACTTCTGTTTCAGTTTATAGATGAGAAATCAATTCTAAAGTATTTTACAAAAGGGAACACATCAATCTTAAATACAGTTTTTTTGTCTTCTCAGAGTGTGGAAAATGTATTTGTTCTGATAGTACATCAAATAAATCCTTGGTGTCTTAGGAAACAGGCCCCCTTGTTTATTTTCAAGGGCATAGTCCTCACTTGGCAGAACTTTAATTGCTATGTATTCTTCACTTCTGTAACCACCAGGTTCTCTTATTCAAGTACCTTCAGTTGAGAGGGGAAAACTTAGTAAAGTTCGTCTGGGTTCATTGTCTTTGAAAAAGGAAGGAGAGAGACAGTGCTTCTTATTTACAAAACACTTTTTAATTTGTACAAGAAGTTCAGGAGGAAAGCTTCATCTGCTGAAGGTATGGGTTTTTCTATAGTTATTCCATTTATTCTATGTTCCCAATGGTTTAGAGGTTATCTCTATGATGACTTCCATGCCTTGCTATTGTCATAAAACAGATGGCCATGATTGTACAAAGAGTGAGATAATGGATGGTTAAGAACTCTTTTACTTTGTTGTCATTTGGATTCAGAGTAATAGAAATTAATTGTAAGTGGACATTCTCATAACCAACTACAATTCAAATCATAACCTGGACAAAATTAGGACTAGTTGATGGTTGCTACTAAAATGGTGTGAAAACATTATAGTGCTCTGATGGAATGTTTGCTCACTGCAACCTGTGGCAACCTGTGGTCTGGAACTTGCTTCCTGTTTTTGTTAATAAAGGTTCATTGGAACACAACCCCACTGATTTGTTTATAAATTGTCCTTAGCTGCTTTCATGTTAAAATGGTAGAGTTAGATAGTTGTGATAAAAATGAAATGGCTTTAAATTATTTCCAATCTGTATCTTTATAGAAAAGGTGTTTTTTTCCTGGCTAAATGCTGTTACTATTGCCTATATATATTACTCAATGCTTCCTACTGACTTGGTGGGTTCAACTCTGTTGAGCTATCTTTGTTGCTATCTAAAGTCACCAGGATACTGGCCACAGTCCTGTAGATGGAGTCACTACAGTTTACAAACATTCATAACAATAATGGTATGCAAGGGAAAATTGAATATGACATAAATTAATTATTTTCTATTAATAGATCTAAGTTTGAGTTTGAACTCTGAAAAATGATTTTGATTGAAGAATAACCATGCTTTCTTCTGTGGCAAGCCACAATAAGATTACAAATCAGAACTTCCCAACTTACACAGGACCTTTGGCCTCTTAATGACAAATTGGTTTGTTTCCAGACAGGTGGAGTTCTCTCTCTCATAGAGTGCACGTTGATTGAGGAGCCTGATGCAAGTGATGATGACTGTAAGTCACATTCTATTGCTCTGAATTAGGTTAGGATAAAAAATAAAATTCCATAGCTTGATATTTTTTTCTAGTTTAAGGACTCCCAGGGAGACAGAAAAGATGTTGAAGATAAACTCCCTAAAGTCATTTGTCTGTTGGGCATTGAACCTGTGATCCTTGTCAAACCATCTTTGGGAGTTGATAGTCTCCTGAATTTGTGTCATGATAGTGACCTCTCTGTGGCAGGCACAGGGAAAAAAAGAAAAGTTTAATTAAAGTATTAGATATCTGTGCAATATGGAAATTAAACATGATATGAGAAGATTGGGATGTAGTCATGAATAACTTACTGACCTCAGCTCTTCCATCTTCCATTATAAACTTAATAAGGCCTTCTCCATTTGCAAGAAACACACTATTGGTGAGAATCTAGACTTGAGTTTACACATACCATAATGGTAGCTATATGGAAGCAGATAGTACTCATATTTTATATTCATAGCTAATTGTTTGGTGTTTGTGTGTTGAAGCCAAAGGTTCTGGGCACATGTTTGGACACCTGGATTTTAAGATAGTGGTGGAACCCCCTGACGCTACTCCTTTCACTGTGGTATTGTTGGCACCTTCACGCCAGGAGAAAGCTGCCTGGATGAGCGATATCAGTCAGGTAAGGTGGCAGCATTTGCCGATATTTAACAATCACAACATAAATATCTAGTGAAGACTTTAAAGGTTATTATGTTAAGAAAAATGAAATCTAGTTGCTGTGGTCACTGCCACTAGTACTGTATATCTTGTTGGGCTGCCATCATTTTGTTGTGATTTTTCTTGTTAAAGTTAATATTTACTTGAAACATAATAATTGCATTTTCGTTCCTGGGCAAATGTAACTCTAGTGCTGACTAGTGTTGCAATTGTCCTGTAATAAGTTCTCCAATGACTGTATTAGCTCTGTGCATGTGTGTGTATGTATGTGTGTGTGTGTGTGTGTGTGTGTGTGTGTGCATGTGCTTATCTATTTAAATACAAAAACAATGAGAGAAACAAAAAACAGAAAACAAGGGTTATGAGAAGTCATGCTTTAAGGAATTACAACATTCTGTGTGGAATATGAAATCTTCAACTGAGGCCTTGTATTTTATGTAGAAAAAAAAGTTAAGGAACAGAATTGGTTGACTTTCCTGGATCAGAAATGTTCAGTCGGGAAGTTGTTGCATTTATTCAGGCAAAGATATTATTTGGAAATATATCAAAACTAGTCAGGACTAGACTTGAGCATTTCTGAATTCAAGTTCGACATGAATTTTGGCTCCATTCACTATTGTAGGGAAAAGTCATTCTGAATAACAAAAATATTAAAATAAGGCTTGAGCCGGGTGCAGCAATATTTAGTCCCAGCTACTTCAGCTGAAGCAAGAGGGGAGATTGAGTCCAGGAGGTCCAGAGCAGCCTGGGCCACAAAATGAAATCCCATTTTAAAATAAAAAGAAAGAAAAAAGAGAAGTAAAGAAAGTCAGTAAGTCTTGAGTTAAATTACCAAGTTCACTTTTATAGTTGCTAAGAAGATTCATATTTATAAACTAACATGTACGACTATTTAAAGGTAATTAAAATGAATATAAAATGAAGACTGGGCTAATGGAAAAGGCGTTTTACTGTTTTTCTTTTCTAAAGAGCTCAGAATAATGTACATATAAAACCTAGGTAAAGAAGTAGTAATATAGTTCTTTGGATATTTAATATTTTTGAATGACTGGCAACTGAAAGGAAAATCGAGAATGAATGGCAATAATGAGTGTTTTACAAGCCTGCTCTCTGTCTCTCTGTCTCTGTCTCTCTCACATATTTAATAGAATTGTATTCTGAAGGGAAACAGAGGTAAGTGTTATTTCATATGTGAGGAATGTGAGATTTGGAAAGCTAAGCATTGTCAAAAGTCAGACAACTGTGTGGCATTAGGTCATATTTAAGCCTTCTTAGTACTCTAAATATCCTGTGTAAGAGAATCTTACGTGGAACTTGGCTTACATATCCCTGTTACTATTCTGACGCTGAATAAATAGCTAGAAGGGAAGCTGTATATTTTCCTAATAAAAGAATGACAGTATCTATTCTTCCACAATTCTTCCATAATTCTTCATGCATAATTGCATTCTTTTTTTTTTTCTTTTTTGGGTCCAGTCGTGGGGCCTGAACTCTGGGCCTGGGCGCTGTCCCTCAGCTCTCAACTCAAGGCTAGTGCTCTACCACTTTGAGCCACAGCACCACTTCTGGCTTTTTTTCTTTTTGCTTATGTGGTGCTGAGGAATTGAACCCAGGGCCTCAGGCATGCAAGGCATGCCTTCCCAGCCACCTTCCCACCTTCCCAGCTCCATAATTGCATTCTTAAGGTGATTTACTGATCCTTTCAGTAACACTTAGCTGCATCAATTAGTACTTCATTACATAATGCGTCCTTGCCTTACGATACTCTCCATCATCCCCTGATTACATAAACAATTATTGAGGAAAGCTTATGTACTTCCAAATCTTCGCAGGTGCCAGGGTATTGCCATGGCTCCTACTCTCAAGACAAGCTAACTCATAATACAGAAAGAAAGTACACAGCTTGACACAACAACATTGCATAGGTGTTGAGAAGCTGTTATCCACAGAAAGACTGGGGAGGAAGAAGAAACAAACATTTCTCTAGATAGTTCTACCTTCTTCTCTATGACATAACTGAAACTCCAAAGATTCAGGGTTGATAAGAGCCTCTGTGACCTTCCTTGTGGTGCCTGATGAGGAACTATGGAGAGAGAAAAACTCCTGGAGTGCAAGTGATTCTATGCCGGGTAAAGAAAGACATTTAAACTTTTGCCTGCTACGTTTGCTATGGCTTGGCAAAGCATTATACTAGCCTTTCACTGCAGTATAAGGCAGCTAACGAAAATTCTTATTGTTGTGAAAGGCAGTGATACCATTATGTGAAACTACTATCTTCAACAGAACATTGATATGGTACGGCTTTGACATTTATGGTTTTATTCATTCAACAAATATATTTATGCAATGACACACTATCCGTCAGGCATTATTCTAACTACTTGTAACATGTCATAAGCAAAAGAAGGCAGCAACAATAAAGAATCCCTGGGTCTTGTATAGCTTGCATTATAATGTGAGATACTGCAAAAAATCATCAATAAATGTATTAAAGGAGTACATGCTATTTTATGGAGGCAGATGATAAGGTAAGATAAAAAGGATTGGGCCATTCAAGGAGGGCTGGGCTTGGTATAGTTTTAGTCTGGTAACCTCATTCTGAAGGAGACATTTAAACAAAGACTAGTAGGTGATGCAGATGCCATATAAAGTTGTGATGAAGGGAAAGTCGCTGCAGAAAGAAGGCAGTGGTGACAAAGACCCTAAAGAAGGAGAATGCTGTCTGTTTGGAGAAAAATGTGAAAGCCAGTGTGGCTGAATTGCAGAGCCTGAGAAGAATAAAAATAGTCAGAGTTCACAGTGGTCAAGCCAGGGCTGAAGCATTTTAGCTTTTACTGAGTGAGAAGAAAGCTATTAAAGAATTTAAGCAAAGGAATTCTGTGATTTGACTTAAATCTTGAAAGGATTACTCACCTGTTGTGGTGAGAAGAGACAGAGGGTGGAGGGAAGGAGTAGATTCATGGATGTGAGGAGACGTTCTTATAGTTGTCCAGGAGGTACGTGCTGAAAGCTTACACCAGCTTGGCAGCAGAGGAGCTGGAGACAATGATTCTGTCCTGGGTTTGTTTTGAGGTAGGGCCAGCAGAGTTCTGTCTTAGGGCTGGATATGAGAGCAAACAAAGGGTCAAGGATGACAAGGATGACAGCAGTGCTTCTTGCTTGAGCAACTGCAAGAAAAGAGCTGCTGTTTACTGATAGAGGATCATCTGCTGAGCAAAGTGACTGGGAGTGAAAACTCAGCTTACTTTGTACATGGTCAAGAAGTCTGTTAGACATCTGAGTGGATGTGTGAAATACACAGTGGAGCATAATTGTATAGGATTTAGAGGAGAGATCTAACTACATCATTAAGGCTTTTTCAAAGTTAGGAGATTATTAAAAACATTCAAGAATGAGTATAGAAGGGGGCACATAATGAGAGAGAGGCCAGGAAAATCAGCAAAGAGGACTAAGAAGGAGCCACTAGGACAGTAGGAGAATGGCCAAAGAGGGTAGCATCCTGAAAACCGAGTGAAGAAAATGCATCAAGGATGAAAAGAGTGGTTCTCTTTCAGCTTCTGCTAAAGGCTGGGTAGGGTTGTGAGTGTTCTGGGATACTTAGGGCTTTTTCCGGTGTGGGGTTTGAATGGTGGGCAATAGAGGCAGAATGCTTTGTTATTGATTGAGCCTAGCCTGCTGCCCAGACACCCATAACTCAACAAGGTTCAGCTTCTGCTTAGGGCATTTTTGTTTTCTGAGAGAGATTGCATACACATTCATGAAAGATGTCAGCCTTTCAAGTATATCTTAGGACATATGAGAGATACATTTCAGTGAGATAAACTCACCGAATGCTTGAAAAAATGTTCAGAATTTGGTTGTGAATATGGAAAAATATGTTCATTAAAAACGAACCAGAAGTATTCCCAAGACCCAGTACACCAAAATGTTTACCCAAGTATTTTCCATTGGTAATTTTTGCTAGGATTACCCGAGGAGTTTTCTTTAAATGCAGGCTTCTGATCCCACATTCCAGATGCCCTTCTCAACTTTATAGGCTTTAAGGAGCTCCATAGATCACTTCCGGCTTCCCTGAAGCCAGATCTATTTCCATCTCTAAAACTCCATGATCCACTCAGAAACACAGTTCAGCTTTCTGTATATAGAACACTATTTTTCTTCTCATCTCATTTATGTCTTTCTATAGCTATACAAGTTATTCATATTGATTCTTCTAATGACTCCATATGTGTGCATATGACATCCATGTGCATTCATGTACTGGGCATATATGTCTCATAAATGTGTATTTTACCACATGAATTTACCACTTTTATATCTGCTTCGAAATAATTCGTCACTGAACCTGTTTCCAAATTTTAGGATTAATATATAATGTGGTGCTAGCATCTTTATGCAGGAGTTTTTGCTCTTTTTAAAGTTCCCTGATGATACCTGTTCCCTAAAGAGTACAAGGCTGGCATAGAGGGCATGAAATAATTTGGCAGACTACATCATTTCTTTAAGAAATACAAAGCTCATAATTTTCCTTCATGCTTAATAAGGTTTCTATATAACTTTCTTTTTTTATTGTGAAAATACTGTACAGAGGGGTTACAATTACATGGGCAAGATAATGAGTACATTTCTTATCAAGCATTGTAGCCTCCTCCTTTGTTTCCCCTTCCCATCCCTTCCCATCCTCCCCCCCACCCCCCCACTCAATCCTCCTCGCCCCCCACCAAAGTTGTAAAATTCATTTTTGACATAACGACTTGTACGTCTCAATGTTGCAATGGGTCCACCTGTATCCCTATTTAAACAATTTGTTTTTTCCCTTCCCCTTCACAAATTATACTGATATCAAATACAGTGAAAGCAGGGGTTATACCATGGGGGAGGGACATACAAAGCAACAAAGAAATAATCTTATAAATGTGGATATAACTTTCTTTTAAGTCCTGCAAATGTTGAGTTATGTTT